TATAGGATAGTATGGTATTTGTATATAGGATAGAATAGTATTTGGATATAGGATAGTGTAGTTTTAGGATAGAGGATAGTATGGTATTTGGATATAGAATAGTATTTGGATATAGGATAGTGTCGTTTTTGGATATAGGATAGTGTAGTATTTGGGTATAGGATAGCGTACTATTAGGATATAGGAAAGTATGGTATTTGGATATAGGATAGTGTGTATTTGGATAAAGGATAGTGTAGTTTTAGGATATAGGATAGTGTGTATTTGGATATAGGATAGTGTAGTTTTAGGATATAGGATAGTATGGTATTTGGATATAGGATAGAATAGTATTTGGATATAGGATAGTGTAGTATTTGGATATAGGATAGTGTAGTTTTAGGATATAGGATAGTATGGTATTTGGATTTAGGATAGTGTAGTATTTGGATATAGGATAGAATAGTATTTGGATATAGGATAGTGTAGTATTTGGTTATAGGATAGTGTAGTTTTAGGATATAGGATAGTATGGTATTTGGATTTAGGATAGTGTAGTATTTGGATATGGGATAGAATAGTATTTGGATATAGGATAGTGTAGTATTTGGATATAGGATAGTGTAGTTTTAGGATATAGGATAGTATGGTATTTGGATTTAGGATAGTGTAGTATTTGGATATAGGATAGTGTAGTTTTAGGATATAGGATAGTATAGTATTTGGATATAGGATAGTATAGTATTTGGATATAGGATACTGTATAGGATATTGGGTATAGGATAGCGTAGTATTAGGATATAAGAAAGTATGGTATTTGGATATAGGATAGTGTGTATTTCGATATAGGATAGTGTAGTTTTAGGATATAGGATAGTATGGTATTTGGATATAGGATAGAATAGTATTTGGATATAGGATAGTGTAGTTTTAGGATATAGGATAGTGTAGTATTTGGATATAGGATAGTGTAGTATTTGGATATAGGATAGTGTAGTATTTGGATATAGGATAGTATGGTATTTGGATTTATGATAGTATAGTATTTGGATTTAGGATAGTGTAGTTTTAGGATATAGGATAGTATAGTATTTGGATATAGGATAGTATGGTATTTGGATATAGGGTAGTGTAGTATTTGGATATAGGATAGTATAGTATTTGGATATAGGATAGTATGGTATTTGGAAATAGGGTAGTGTAGTATTTGGATATAGGATAGTGTAGTATTTGGATATAGGATAGTATAGTATTTGGATATAGGATAGTGTAGTATTTGGATATAGGATAGTATGGTATTTGGATTTAGGATAGTATAGTATTTGGATATAGGATAGTGTAGTATTTGGATATAGGATAGTATAGTATTTGGATTTAGGATAGTATAGTATTTGGATATAGGATAGAATAGTATTTGTATATAGGATAGTGTAGTATTTGGATATAGGATAGTGTGTATTTGGATATAGGATAGTATTTGGATATAGGATAGTGTAGTATTTGGATATAGGATAGTATGGTATTTGGATATTGGATAGTGTAGTATTTGGATATAGGATAGTGCAGTATTTGGATATAGGATAGTATGGTATTTGGATATTGGATAGTATGGTATTTGGATATAGGATAGTATAGTATTTGGATATAGGATAGTGTACTATTTGGATATAGGATAGTATACTATTTGAATACAGGATAGTGTAGTATTTGGATATAGGATAGTGTAGTATTTGGATATAGGATAGTATGGTATTTGGATATTGGATAGTATGGTATTTGGATATAGGATAGTGTAGTATTTGAATATAGGATAGTGCAGTATTTGGATATAGGATAGTATAGTATTTGGATATAGGATAGTGTAGTATTTGGATATAGGATAGTGTAGTATTTGGATATAGGATAGTGTGTATTTGGATATAGGAAAGTATAGTATTTGGATTTAGGATAGTGTAGTATTTGGATATAGGATAGTGTAGTTTTAGGATATAGGATAGTGTAGTATTTGGATATAGGATAGTATGGTATTTGGATATTGGATAGTATGGTATTTGGATATAGGATAGAATAGTATTTGGATATAGGATAGTGCAGTTTTAGGATATAGGATAGTGTAGTTTTGGATATAGGATAGTGTAGTTTTAGGATATAGGATAGTATGGTATTTGGATATAGGATAGAATAGTATTTGGATATAGGATAGTATGGTATTTGGATATAGGATAGTATAGTATTTGGATATAGGATAGTATAGTATTTTGATATAGGATAGTGTAGTAGTTGGATATAGGATAGTATGGTATTTGGATACAGGATAGTGTAGTATTTGGATATAGGATAGTGTAGTTTTAGGATATAGGATAGTGCAGTATTTGGATATAGGATAGTGCAGTATTTGGATATAGGATAGTGTAGTATTTGGATATAGGATAATATGGTATTTGGATATAGGATAGTGTAGTATTTGGATATAGGGTAGTGTGGTATTTGGATACAGGATAGTGTAGTATTTGGATATAGGATAGTATGGTATTTGGATATAGGATAGTGTAGTATTTGGATATATGATAGTGTAGTTTTAGGATATAGGATAGTATAGTATTTTGATAAAGGATAGTGTAGTATTTGGATATAGGATACTGTAGTATTTGGATATAGGATAGTGTAGTTTTATTATATAGGATAGTATAGTATTTTGATATAGGATAGTGTAGCATTTGGATATAGGATAGTATGGTATTTGGATACAGGATAGTATGGTATTTGGATATAGGATAGTGTAGTATTTGGATATAGGATAGTGTAGTTTTAGGATATAGGATAGTGTAGTATTTGGATATAGGATAGTGTAGTATTTTGATATAGGATAGTGTAGTATTTGGATATAGGATAGTATGGTATTTGGATATAGGATAGTGTAGTATTTGGATATAGGATAGTATGGTATTTGGATATAGGATAGTGTAGTATTTGGATATAGGATAGTATGGTATTTGGATATAGGATAGTGTAGTTTTAGGATATAGGATAGTGTAGTATTTGGATATAGGATAGTGTAGTTTTAGGATATAGGATAGTATGGTATTTGGATATAAGATAGTGTAGTATTTGGATATAGGATACTGTAGTATTTGGATATAGGATAGTGTAGCTTTAGGATATCGGATAGTATAGTATTTGGATATAGGATAGTGTAGTATTTGGATATAGGATAGTATGGTATTTGGATACAGGATAGTGTAGTATTTGGATACAGGATAGTATGGTATTTGGATATAGGATAGTGTAGTTTTAGGATATAGGATAGTGTAGTATTTGGATACAGGATAGTATGGTATTTGGATATAGGATAGTGTAGTTTTAGGATATAGGATAGTGTAGTATTTGGATACAGGATAGTATGGTATTTGGATATAGGATAGTGTAGTATTTCGATATAGGATAGTGTGGTATTTGGATATAGGATAGTGTAGTATTTGGATATAGGATAGTATGGTATTTGGATTTAGGATAGTATGGTATTTGGATATAGGATAGTGTAGTATTTGGATATAGGATAGTATGATATTTGGATATAGGATAGTGTAGTTTTAGGATATAGGATAGTGTAGTATTTGGATATAGGATAGTGCAGTATTTGGATATAGGATAGTGTAGTATTTGGATACAGGATAGTGTAGTATTTGGATACAGGATAGTATGGTATTTGGATATAGGATAGTGTAGTATTTCGATATAGGATAGTGTGGTATTTGGATATAGGATAGTGCAGTATTTCGATATAGGATAGTGTGGTATTTGGATATAGGATAGTGTAGTATTTCGATATAGGATAGTGTTGTATTTGGATATAGGATAGTGTAGTTTTAGGATATAGGATAGTGTAGTATTTGGATATAGGATAGTGCAGTATTTGGATATAGGATAGTGTAGTATTTGGATATAGGATAGTGTAGTATTTGGATATAGGATAGTGTAGTATTTGGATATAGTATAGTGCAGTATTTGGATATAGGATAGTGCAGTATTTGGATATAGGATAGTGTAGTTTTAGGATATAGGATAGTGTAGTTTTAGGATATAGGATAGTGCAGTATTTGGATATAGGATAGTGTAGTATTTGGATATAGGATAGTGTAGTATATGGATATAGGATAGTATGATATTTGGATATAGGATTGCATATTATATAAATATATAGTGTAGTATCTGGATCAAGTGTAGTATATGAATATAGTCAAGTTTTGGATTTAGAGTAGTTTTGGAAATGAGATAGTATGATTTGCCCAAATCTGAGATGTTGTACTTCTATTTTAAATGTCCTGCATTTCAGTGTTGTCTTCCCAGGTTAAAAGTTTATCCTTTGATTCTATTTTATTTGACATTCATATAAGAGCTGGTGAGAATTATGTGATGCTATGGTGAGAAATGTAATGACAAAATCCACAAACACACAGGTTATTAGCACCTAATCCAGGATGGATTTCACAATGATTTTCAGAAGACTGTTTACTTTGCTGGGATATATTTTAATGTTTGCTGAGAACACTTGTGTTATAAATCCTAATGGAGAGTTTAACGAGGGGCGGACAAGCATGAGGAGAGGTTCTCATTCTGTAACCGATTGTATCACTGTCAGTGTCTAATGTTTTAGAAAAGAGAATCTGTTATTTCTGATTTATATTCTTACCGTTCAGATTTCATTCATAATGTCTTTATTTGTGGGGAGTATCCACTAAACAGTAATACAGTAACACATAAAGATTTGCAGAATTTAATCCTTTCACATCCAGGCCGTATCTCAGTTTAGAGAAGGCTAGATGAATCTTGTAGTGATTTACTGTACATTAGATTTATAGAAAACAGAAGTAGTATTTTTATTAATTTTTTTTTATTATATCAGAAAAATTAAAAAATTTCATCACTACCCAACATGGAATAGTCCATTTATGCATTTACCATAAATAGAAATTTCTATTCTTTTTAATTTTTTTAAATTAATTTAGTAAAGAAATACTAAGCTACTCATCATCACAAGTATATGCAAGAAGGTGCAAATTGTGTGTTTTTAACACATGACAGGAGAAAAGAGACTATGATTGTGACGGACCCACCGTCAATCGATGAGCCTAGTGCTTACCAAGGACCATCAGCACCGCACCAGACACCATCAGCACCGCAGTCCCCACATCCAGCGTTACAGCTTGGCTGGGTACTCACCGTCCTCTACCTACCCTGGACCTACGACAAGGCTCCAGGTTCCAGTGGGTGAACCTCTCCTCCAAGAGAGTAAAGGAACAAGCTCTTATAAGAGCTTAGTAATTATAGCCCAGGGGAGTATACAGAGTATAGGAATCCCCCAGTGTAGATGCAGCCTTTTCCCCCACACATGAGACAATGCTCTGTGTTGAGGGTAAAACAGGAACTCAGCAGATCTGAGGGTTTATTGTCTCTTATACAGTTTTCCCCACAAGGTTACCAGCAAGGTGGACCTTGTGGAGCACAGGACACAAAGTTACAAAACCAATCAAAACAGTTAGACACTCCCAGATAATGTACACAAATCCTCCCCTCTTAACAAAGACAATGGACTAACTCAATTAACTCTAAGCAGATAAAAACATACATTTTAACAAACCCCAAAAAGTACCCCAAAATACAACAAATACAGTCACATCCTCTGATAGCCCCGATCTGGATGAACGACATATTAAAAAATCACCCAGATCGATTCAGGGGTTCAGGAATTTCCTGGAAGTCTTATATTTGCCCCACCGTGCACATGGTCCCATGCCCAAAACAGTTCCATACACTCAACAACAAAACACTGCTGGACAATTTAAGATTGCCGCCGCCACCACATGTTTGAAAGGGGCATTGTGCTTAGTCCCAATATGCACAAATAGTGTTTTTAAAAGGCAATACACCTCAGGGGCCATAGTAACAGGGCAAGCAGGGCTCTCCAAAACCCAGTGGCGAGGTTACTTTCGCCACAATCATAAAATAGACAATGCACAGTTTACAAGCCAAGTGTTATCCAAAATAGTAAATCATTTCCATAATCATATATTTCTAGAAAGAAGACCATCTTAAGAATTCATAGTTACCCAACAGCCCAGACTACATTCAATAAAGTAGTGAAACATTAAAGCAATACGATTCCCATAAAACCACAAACAAAATGTCATAGAATTTATATCTCACATTCACACAAGTTCTGCAATAGGGACACGATTACGCCATATGCCCTGAGTACATTGACACCTTTATAGCAATAGGCGTATTATCTCACTATCCCTATTAGACAGACCCTTGTTGGATGTGAAAGCTCCGGATAATCAGTGATCATATCACAAGGTAAAATGCTTTCATAGAATGGCTGTTCCTCTGACAAGCGGGACTATACACTTTCATCCTTTAGGTAATTAAAAGGCAGACTCTAACACTATTTTCCCATTAGTAAATAAGACTAATAGGGGAATTATTTTCTTGATGTAATTAAATGACATTTGTTTGCTAAGCTCCTCTTCCGATTACAGCTTAATGATTAATAGCCACTCTAGATACACATACTTAATCTCTGACAAATATCATGAAATGCCGCCCTGAACATATATATCTATGTTTACACCCTTCGCATGGCTAAATGCACGAACAGTTTTTATGTTTTAAGATGTGTCCAAATATCTTTTATTAATTACAGTAAGGCTCCATTGCAGAGGTTTTAGCTTTGAAAACATCTCTCTTGTGACTAAAAGTGCAAACGTGACACTCATACATTCCTTGCTATTTCTCTATCCACAGAGTCAATATAAAAGTTACGTTTTGTTTACCTGTCCTATTCAGAAATGATTACCCAACACACCCACCCCTTCCCACACTGTGAAATTCCATATCTAAACTCGTAAAATTCAAAAAAAAATTTAAAACACAAAAGCTAATGTTAAAGGATCATTCAAAGCTCCATGTATGCAGTAGTGGTTATGATTCCAGGGGTTCCTTGGTGTACCTTCTGAGCATGGATTCACAGTTTTACAATGATTTGATTTCTGACTTCTCGCCCGCCAGGCAGCGCTCCCCTCCTACTTGCAGCCAGAAGAGGCAGCAGCTATTGTTATTTGTCACGAGCTAAGCCCTGCAGTGCACTGCCTTTTCATTGGCTGAGAGTGTTATTTCTCTTTAGCACCTGTTGGTGCCTTGCCAACCCAACCTCCTTTAAGACACATGTTCCTGATCCCATAGGAAAGCATTGGGTTGGCTGAGATTGTCAATTCTGATGATCTTAGAATTCTGATGATCTCAGCCGAGGAGGTGGTGTCCCGAGATAGCAAGGAATAGAGTAATGAAATATAAACATCTTACCGGGCCTTAGAGTGGCTAAACGTCTGACAGAGTAAAGCGTGGTCAAACTACAAGCCAAGGTCAGGGTGACGGAGAGAAAGCAAAAACGAGAACTAGCCAGAGTCAGGTACACGGTAATAATTAAAAGGGCAAACAAGACAGGCAATGGTTAAAGAGAAACTCAGCATCAGGAAACAAAGCCAAGGTCAATACCAGAATACAACACTATATCACAGAAAACGCACTAAAGGGTTCTGGGAACAGAAACCACAATAGAGCACAGAATCTAGGGCCAGGTAAGTTAACATAAGTTTATGTTTAATTTGATTGGTCCACATCATGCCTGCGCCCCAGACCGTGTGTGAATGGGGGTGCCGGAATGACTTGGGCCAATGGGAGCTGATCACAAGGTTAGGCTCCCATTCCCCCTATAAGAAAGTGCTCGCAATGCAAGCAGCATTCCTAATATGGTACTGGCCGCGCGCCCAATCAGACTGTTCGCCGTGCGGCCCTCCAGGAGTGTTCAAGCTGGAGGCAGGAGTGCTCGAGCCGCATGCTGCTCGATCGGAGGACCCCTGCAGGCAAGCAGACCGGGTAAGAACCGTAACAGGTGGGCCGAGGGGTGGGGCCAAACGCCACTCTGGCCAATCAGCATCACCTCATAGAGATGTATTGAATTATTTATTATTTATTTATTTATAAAATATTTTACCATGAAAGATACATTGAGATTTCTCTCGTTTTCAAGTATGTCCTGGGTTTTCAAGTATGTCCTGGGTTTTCAAGTATGTCCTGGGTATCAATGGATCTCTAGGAGGAAAGTTCAGTGTCTCCATGCAGAGGGTGGAGACACTGAATGTCAGTCACACTGTGCAGCACTGCCCCAGGAAGCACCTCTAGCAGCCATCTGAGGAGTGGCCAGTGGAGGTAACCCTTGGCTGTAATCTAAACAGTCTATTCTGTTAAAAAACTGTGTTTACTGCAAAAAGCCTGAAGGAACATGATATAGACATCATAACAACTACATTAAGCTGTATACTGTAAATTAAACCGTGGTTGCTCTGGTGACTATAGTGTCCCTTTAAATCCTGTTCCTGGACTCTTATTATACACATATATAAACACCTGTTAATTGAAGACTGTATTGTGTATAATCTAGATCCACTTTGACCTACTTGCTGTTACCTTGAGTTTACGGTTTACATATATGTATATTTAATTAACTAAATAAAAAAGAAAAACATAAAAAACTTTTTCCCGTATAAAATTTGACAGAGAGTAATTTAATTAATATAATTTGATAACAAAAAGCCTGGGTTTGGAGTTAATATTGACAATACCCCACACGCTGTATCAATATATCAGGTTTCTTTTAAGATTACTATACATTTAAAGGAACACTATCGTCACCTAAATTACTTTAGCTAAATAAAGCAGTTTTAGTGTATAGATCATTCCCCTGCAATTTCACTGCTCAATTCACTGTCATTTAGGAGTTAAATCACTTTGTTTCTGTTTATGCAGCCCTAGCCACACCTCCCCTGGCTATGATTGACAGAGCCTGCATGAAAAAAAAAACTGGTTTCACTTTCAAACAGATGTAATTTACCTTAAATAATTGTATCTCGATCTCTAAATTGAACTTTAATCACATACAGGAGGCTCTTGCAGGGTCTAGCAAGCTATTAACATAGCAGGGGATAAGAAAATCTTAATTAAACAGAACATGCAATAAAGAAAGCCTAAATAGGGCTCTCTTTACAGGAAGTGTTTATGGAAGGCTGTGCAAGTCACATGCAGGGAGGTGTGACTAGGGTTCATAAACAAAGGGATTTAACTCCTAAATGGCAGAGGATTGAGCAGTGAGGCTGCAGGGGCATGTTCTATACACCAAAACTGCTTCATTAAGCTAAAGTTGTTCAGGTGACTATAGTGTCCCCTTTAAGTAAATTTTCAATGTCTTGAACTGAAATAAAGCACAGAGTTTGTTTTTTGAAAATAGGTGCCATTGCTTGTGATTAAAAAAGGGACATTATTTTCCTTTCTCGACTCACCATTCTAGTTTACCATTCCGGATGCTATAGGTATCAGGTTATATAGAATCACTGGAACAATATAAACTCTTGTATTATCTTCTAATACCTGAATGTATTGTCTTATTGATCATGGTCTGAGTGGTGGGAATGAATGCTCCATTCTCCATAAATATTATATGGGTGTGGGACATGCCTAGTCTACAGGAGACAGCACAACATATTCCATCTCAGGTCACAGATCTGGGGATTTATTTCCATGGTGGACACTACGTGGTGTTTAGTGTCTAAACCTGCTGAGATTGGTTACAAGGTGGTGGATCTAGGAGGAGCATAATGTCTGATAGATTTAGTAGTTTAGAAGAATAAAACGGTTTTAAAAGCAAATTTTCTCTTTTTCTTTGCACTTGTAGAAGGACCCTGAGGGCACACAGGCGGCAGACGCAGAGCACGATTCATAAGCGCAAGGAACGTCCCCGTTAGCTTTACACAGACACTTGGTGGTGCAGGTGGAATCTGTCCAAAACTCTTCACCTTCTTTGGCAAAACTTGCTGCATGGGAAATGTAGGTATTAACATGTTAACAAGACAATGACATATAACTCAGCTTTACATAAAATTTCACAAAATATTAATAATAGTGAGAGTTTACCTAAATTAAAGGTGCGAAATAGCTGGATCCAGGCCACAATCCATATTAACAGATATGCTGGCCAGTGCAGAATAAAACCGCCCTGGGTCTCAATGTGTAACTGTGTGTAATGGGTCTAGTACGGATTTATGTTTGTTTGCTTTTTACAATTGCAGTCTTGTTCAGTTTTGAACATTACCAGTAACATAATATGAATAAAATGGGAATATGGTTAAATGCATTCACGGTTATTTACTACAGTGAGAATTCAAAGTGAATTAAGACCAAAGTAGCCAAACTAGAAACATTCTCCAATTCTAATGTTTGATTTTCCGCTTTGACCTAAAATTAGATTTTCACTTTGAAATCTCAAAACTTCTCTTTAGTAAATAACCATTGATTGTGTCCTATGATTAATGGTATAACAGAGCTACTTGGAGAACAGAACTAATCACTGAGCAGAGGCACTCACAGAAAATAGCTACTCACAGGACAGAGACACTCACAGAAAATAGCTACTCACAGGACAGAGACACTCACAGAAAATAGCTACTCACAGGACAGAGACACTCACAGAAAATGGCTACTCACAGGACAGAGACACTCACAGAAAATAGCTACTCACAGGACAGAGACACTCACAGAAAATAGCTACAGAGCTTATCACTGGTCAGAGCTACTCAAAGGACAGAGCTAATCAAAGGACAGAGCTACTCACAGAACAGAGCTACTCACGGAACAAAGCTACTTGCAGAACAGAGCTACTCAAAGAAAATAGCTACTCATGGAACACAGCAACTCACAGAACAGAGCTACTGACAAAACAGAGCTACTGACAACACAGAGCTACTCACAGAACAGAGATACTCACAGAACAGAATTACTCAAAGAACAGAACTACTCGCAGAACAAAGCAACTCACAGAACAGAACTACTCACAGAACAGAACTACTCGCAGAACAGAACTACTCACAGAACAGAACTACTCGCAGAACAGAACTACTCACAGAACAAAGCTGTAGCGGAGCGCTAGTTCCACATGTATCCGCTGGTATTCCAAGAGTTGCTCAGTAACAAGTAGTTAGCACAGGAAGAACAGCATCAGTAGCAAATAAAATAATCCACTAATATCCCATCACCTTTCCCAATAACTGGACGACACACAGTATTAGGAGCAGAACTGATGTTTAATGCCACATACCCTGCTTTTATGCAACTCTCCCATGCAAGGGAGACACCCACAGAAAATTATACAGTAGCCAATCACAAACTGGTTACATCCCACACATCTCCCCTCAGCCTGCGAGACAACCCAATTAATAGTATAGTTTGAACATAATTTTTCCCCGTTTTCTGGATGTACCCCAAGACTATGACATACACCTCTAAATGATATTACATATCTCCTGATAGCCCTGATCTGGGTGAACAACATACTCAAAAATAACCCAGATCGGATCAGAGGTTCGGAAATTTCATGGAGGTCTTTGTTTTACCGACCGCATACAAGGCAATGGCCGAAAGGAGTTCCATGTATTTTGGCCTTACGGTCAGTCTCCATTCGTGAGGTGAAAAACAGGAAAATAGTCATATGAATCCCCTTGTTCATGGGTATCTTTTTACCGAAAGCCGTGCCGTTCGTGTGTTATGGAGGTTTCTGCGGTGTTCGCGTGGTCAGGTGTCCGATTTGGGTTCCAGACACTCGACGAACAAACACTGCTGGTGAGTTCGTATGGCAAGATGGCCACCGAATGTCGAATGGCGCCCACCCAGGGAATACACATTGCATTCGTATGATTCTCAATCAGGCTGGTGTGAAGAATGATGGGGAGGTAAATTAGAGCCACGTTCCTCACCGGCATGGTCTGGTTGTTCGGTAGTTTGTTCATCTGTTGAACGGATATATTTAACATTGTAGCAATTGTGTTTCTACTGAACAACCAAACGAATGCTTCAGTGGTTCACTGATTACCTTTTGTCTTGAAAGTAACAAACTATAGGGAAAGAGAAATGGTGGATAGTAGCCAAACGCAATCCGCTACAAAAGCTACTCACAGAACAGAGATACTCCCAGAACAAAGCTACTCACAGAACAGAGATACTGACAAAACAGAGTTTCTCACAGAACAAAGCTACTCACCAACCAATAAAGTACAAGGTACAACCCACACATCTCCTCCCATCAGCTTATCTGTTAACAGAATAAAAATGTAAATATTTTCCCCAAGTTCTAGATGTACCCCAAATACATAGGGTATCCCCTGATAGCCCTGATCTGGGTGAATAACATATTCAAAAATCACCCAGATCAGATCAGGGGTTCGTGAGTTATGGGGGTTTAAAGTTTTGTGGAGGTCCCTTTAGGCCCACTGAAGCATGGCTTTCCAGCCCAAACTTTCCAGCCCAAACCAGTTCCAAGTAGTCTGGCAGTGTGCCTGGGACAATGCCCTGCTGGGAAACAATGGGACAGGAAACGGGGGAGGGGTACACCTTCCTATACACCATCTATACACAGTCTAATAGAAGTCCATACACTGTGCATAAAGGGCCAGTAGCCGCATAATACAAATCCATCATGCCCAAATACTGTCTTTAAAGGGCAATAACCCCAGGGCCATAGTCACATGGCAGGAGGCAGGCAAGCAAGCCCCTCCAAAAGCTCATGGCAAACTCTCTTAAAAGGGTGAGTTTGCTACACAGAGCTACTCATAGAACAAAGCTACTCACAGGACAGAGCTTCTCACAGAACAAAGCTACTCACAGAACAGAGATACACACAGAACAGAAATACTTACAGAACAGAAATACTTACAGAACAGAGCTTTTAACAGAACAAAGCTACTCACAGAGCATAGCTACTTACAGAGCAGAGTAATTAATTAACAGAACTCGAGACAAAACAGAAATACTCATGAACTCACTATATAGAACTACTCACTGAACAGAGCTACACACAGAACCGAACTACTCACAGAGCAGAGATACTGAGAAAACAGAACTTCTCACAGAGCAGAGATACTTACAGAACAAAGCCATTCACAGAAAATAACTATTCTCAGATTCTAGCTACTAAGAGAACAGAGCTACTCACAGGATAGAACTACTCACAGAACTGAGATCTTGACAAAACAGAGCTACTCACAGATCAGATATATTCACAGAACAGAGATACTCACAGAACAGAGCTTTTAAGAAACCAGAGCTTCTCACAGAGCAGAGCTACTCAGAGAACAGAGCTACTCACAGCATAGAACTACTCACAGAGCTGAGATATTAACAGACCAGAACTTCTCACAAAGCAGAACTACCCAGAGAACAGAGCTACTCAGACAACAAAGCTACTCACAGAACAGAGCTTTTAACATAACAAAGCTACTCACAGAGCATAACTACTCAGAGAATAGAACTACTTACAGAACAGAGCTACTCACAGAACAGAACAACTCGCAGAACATAGCTACTCAGAGATCAGAGCTACTCACAGAACAGAATAATTAATGAAGAGAACTCAAGACAAAACAGACATACTCATGAACAACAAAACAGATGAATAATTCTTTTAGCATACATTTGATCATACAGCCTCCAGGAACTTGAAAATCATCGACTCTAAAGATCCATCGACCGGGATAGTTGACATTAGAGGTTGACTTAATCTTCAGGACTTCTGCAGTTCTGGACCCAGGGATATTGAAGTAATGAGTATTATCACCACTATTGAATCCAGCCTTTTGGAATCAAAACACATTTTCCTATATTTAATTTCCAGTTATGAGAAGTAATGATGGATTTAACACAATATTATCTCTTTCTGAGTTCTGTTTATACAGTACCTGAGCTGGTAATCCTTCCAGACCTGTAAGTGGATTACCACCACTAGCTTCTCCTGTTGTCCACTGGATGTCACCATAATTCAGGATGATGAAGTATCTGAACCCATCAGTTGTGAGTGTAGCTTGGAATGTGTTAACCTGGACATTGGGTTAAAGAATGCTTAGAACCAACTGATCCCAACAAAGGATTTCACTTATTTTTAAACATAATGAAAGTCCTTTCTGAACTATTTGGATTTTATTCATTTTTAGAAGGATTTCTGTTTTACGTTAACAATAAACCAAGAGAAATATGTGAATATTAATTTACAGTCTGTAATATCTTTGTAAGGTTTGTATCTTTAGGACTGTC